TTTGGGAACTTCCGCAACACATTTACGGAACTTCCGCAGGTGACTCGGTGTGGAATTGCCCCAAAGGTTCTGCGGAAATTCCGGTCAGTTGTCTGAGTGGGTGGGCTTAGCTGGATAGGGTGGGCGTGGCTTGATAGCATGTTCGCAGGTTTCTTCCAGTTTTTTTCCATTCAGAGGCCACGTCGAAGGACCGGACCAACGCAGATATCCCAATCCTAGGACCTTCTTCTAGACTAACGCTAGTGGGAAGACCTGAATTTTGTCTGAATATGTTGTCCTTAAGTTTCAAAGTCCCAATACGCTCTAAACTGTCTAAAATCACCCATCTCTGTCCCACTAGCGCCGCGCACCTCTCTCGCCTGGAAGAACAGCCTAGCACGGGGCGTGTTTTTGCCGCCATTTTCGGCAGTGGATCCGTTTTCGGACAAGAAGTGCGCGCCCGGCGCTCACTCTTCTTGGACGCCAGCCAACTCAGCCAGTCACTAACTATCGTGCGAGCGATCCCCGAAAGAGAGTCAAAACAGCTGAGCGAGTGTGCGTGTGTGCGAGTTACCAGCCTCCCGTACACAGACCACAAACACGAGCAACGACGTCGTCGTTCGTGTTCGCCAGGACGTCCTTAGGGAGCTTGCACGGCTATACGGAGAGAATAGAATATTCGAGAAGGCCTCGTAAATGTTCTTCGATGAATATCTGGCTGTCTGGAATTTGCAATGTGCCAAATAGTGCTGGCGGCTGTTTTCACTTCTCAAGTCTTATATTGTATCCTTAACGAAAATTTGCGACCTTAGCTCATTTCTCTAATCCGATTTTTTCTAAATTTAGCGCAAATGCCTCCATCATCCCGAATTCTGGTCGTAAGTAGTCCTCCGCTCTCATTGCGTCATAAATCGTCACCGCTGCTATGACTTAGGAAAGTGCTTGAGCCTATTCTTAGCAAACTCAATCCTTAAAGCCTTGGTTTTCAATTGCTCATAATTTTATTGAACGTGAAAATAGTTATGTGGAGGTCTTTCATTCAGATAGGGCATTTGTCGTTTTTCTGAAACTTTCTCCTCACTTTTTGATTAATTTTGATAAGCAAAAATAAATTGTTCAAATGTTTATTACGTATTTAGTACATTCCTAAGCCAAAAAAAATTCAAGATAAAAACCCATTCATGTCTTATTTCTTTTTTCTTTAACAAATTTTTTTATTGCAATGATTCCTTGTTGAGATATTCGGAAAGGACCTGTAGACTCTTTTACTCCATCTGAGCCTAAAAACGGAAGAGGATCAGAAATTTGTTTATTATTATTTAATATTATATCATTTACTTATTATCTATTATTATTTTTTATTTTTTATTTTTATTTTTTAATTATTGGACGATGATTTCCATAATTTGTCGCTTGAATATTTGTTGGTTAGATTACCAAAAAATTGATTGTTCCACAGCTATGGACACATTTGCAAATAATTCCATCTGCAGAACTCGTTCTTTTTGATCCCCACTGTCTAGCAGTTATTCGCAGCAAGACTGCTGCCTTTAAATTCTTGATAAACGACTCAAATTTATGACCACATTATTTTTTTAATAATATTATAGACACGATAGATGTTTCATGTTTGATTTGAATTTTCACTGCTGCATGAACTTTTTTGCTGACGATGCCTCTGGGACAATGAAAAACAAGCTAATGTCTAGTTGGTGATCTTGAAAACGCTTCGATTTGACGCTTCCGAGTTTTGAGACGGAAAAGTTCACGGTATCTTTGTCCTTACTGAGAAGTGGTGTAACATCCACGTGAGGAATTGAGTCAGGCACCATTTGTAGTAGTTTATGAATGTTCTTCTCATAAATAAGCTACTTATCCAAAGAAAAAAAGTGATATATAGGACCGTGACGGGTCATCAGCAAAATTATAAGCTGCTTAGTGCACAGATGTTTACGTTTGCTTTTGCGAATAATTATGCCTATTAAGAAGAGAAAGCTTAGGGATCATTCAAAAACACTCGAAGGTGGGAAGAAAATCAACCATTAGTCTCAGTCAGTTATTTCTCTCTGATTATTCAAATATAGAATTTATTTTTGCTTTCATACTTCTGTATTACAGTCATAATGTTTATAAATTCTCTTCTAGGATGTCACGCAACTTAGGCAGTGTTTTAACTAGAATAAATAATTAGATAAACAAGAATATTTCCAGCATGTAAAATCCTATGCAGATTTAAGAAAATTCTGAATTTGGCCTTATACCGTACACCTACCGTAATCGCACAACAAAATCCCTGTGGATCCTGCGGACGCAGTAAAAGTATGCAGAAAATTTGATTTCTGATAAGTTCCCTTGAAAAAAAAGCTTTTTTCTCATAAAGAATTTTCAGAATATCCTCTAAAAATAAAATCACCTAGAATCAAAATCCTCTTTGGTCACTATAGCGATTAACCAAAGTTTCAATCAATTTCAGGAAAGTCGGCTTTTAGGGTATTTGTTTAAGTATTCCTTATTTTCAGCTACTCCAAAGTGGAATATCATCCTGACTTCGCCTCCCCTCCCTCTCCCTTTTGCTAGGTTATTTGCCAAAAATTTATACTTTTTTAAAGAATTTCTAGCTCCAATTAAATTGTGGCTCTTTTCCTTCAAACAGCGATTTGCAAGTCCAAATATCCCCTGCAACAAAAGTAATTGGTACTGTATCTAGAACATCTGAGATGAACTTGTCTACCAAGGCTGACCATATCAACTCGCCCGTTTCCTTTTCAAGGCCAAGTGACCACACGACCGGCGGCTGACGCTTCGCGCCACGCAAACCTCACGCGAAGCCGCCGCCGTCAGCTATTCGCGTTTTTCGTCGGTCTGGCTCGCTTCGAGCGTCGTTATCCCGATTCCTCGACGCGTCGTAGTTATGGGGGGGGGGGACGATGGCGATGGAGGCGCTGGCGAAGGCGGTGGCGGCGGTCGGTGACGGTGGCGGTGACGGTGGCGGCATCTGCTCGCTCGTTGTGTGTATGTGTGTTTTTTCTTTTTTCGCCTATCCGCCCATTCGTGCGCGCTTCGCGTTCTACTCGTTTTCACATTAACATCGCCACGAATTTCGGAATTGCCGCTGGACTTCTCCCCACTGCAAGTACTGGTATAGTTCTGGTTATCCACAGCGAATTTACCACCACCACGACAGACAACCGGCTGGTTTTCGGTCCTCGCTCTTCCTCCCCTCGTGTCGCTGTGACTCACATCGTTTGTCACCCATTCAAGCGCTAGCTGTGCACATGCATCGCTTTACCTTGCCCTTCGCTTGTCCACTCCCTCGCGCCCCCGCACCCTCATGCATCACCCCCCCCCCCCGCGCCCCACAACTCGTCCTCCTAGTACGTATAGGACAACATCTGGCTTCGGTGCCCAACCTCGCGCCCTCTCCACTCCTCTCGCTACATTCGTACGCGAGCGACACACACGGATCTGGACGATTTTTCGAATCTGCCGTTGTTCTATGAGAGTCGTGACCTTGACGAGGTAGCGAATCATGTTTTTGCTGAGGTGATTTGAACTAGTTCCAAGCTAGAAGCTGCACGTATACCCGCCCTTCTACGTCCCGCAATGATTCTGAGTTCTTGCAAGTAAAAAATGGGAAAAACTAGAATTTTTTAGCACCGTAAAACCCAAGATTTTGGGCAGAGTGAGCTGGTAATAAACTTATGCTTCTGCAAAAATTTGTCTCAACTAGGATCTAGTTGTGTCCACTTTTTGCGTCCTTGTATGTTCCACAATGATTTTGAGTTTTTGTAAGTGGTGTTGGGTATTCATGAAAATCTTAGTACTGTACCATCCAATATTCAAAGCAGTTAAGCTGGTATCGAATAAATTTCTATTCCAATCCACTCTCTGAATCCTTACATGTCTCACAACGATTTCAGGTCCTTGTAAGTAAAAATTGGGAAAAATCACAAACTCGTAAAAAAACTAGCCAAAATTTTGAGAAAAGCCTAATTTCAAACCTATACTTTTGCAAGAAAATTGATTCAAAGATTTCTGAATTCCTTATAGTCTAAACATCAATCGCACAGCTTGGACCTCCTTTCGATGGGATTTACCTCCAAAAGTCTCTAAATTTTTGAAGAACTATTACTCCCCAATTGAACTAAAAAATTTGTTTTTGTAAAAATACAATTTTAGACGTCTTTTATCTTCTTTTGATCGTTGATTTTGATTATATTTTTTCTAGTATAATTGATATTTATCATTTTTAATGTTTGTCAATGTTTTTCCGATTGAATAAATCGTATAATTTTATCGAAAGCTTCCCACGGCGTTTGAAATTCAGCGCTCATTTGGATCACATTTCCATGTTTTCGTGCCTGCTATCTCTTCAAATAAAATACAGAACTTAGTCTGATTCAAAAAGAATTTATGATTTTGCTTTAAACGAACTTTGTAATTCTTCCTCAAAAATTCTTCAGATTGAAATTTATTATCTATTATGTTGACAGCAAACCAGTTTTCAGCCACAAAGTCGTTACCTGCATTTTTAATGTGCAGAACCGAACCTCGCAACTGATACGCGAACTCCGAGCTTTTCTGTCCTCGCAGCCGCAGCTCTTCGCGTTTCACTTGCAGACGCACTGCGGCTGGGCGTGGTTTTTGTTCTTGCGAAGAAACAAATCATTTCGCAAATCTGCGGCTCTTCTGCGTGTGTTCACGATTTTGCATGCAATCGTGCGCGTGATAAATCGTCTTCGCATCGATTACAAGCGAATGTGCTCTCTCTCGCTCGCTCGTCCCCAGATGCGCAAACGAATTCACGTCAACAAATCACCTCGAATTAACGCAAAACTCTCACAACTGTACGCACTCCATGAGCTAGTTGCGTTTGGCAGAATTTTATTTTTTTTTTTTCAGAAAAAAGCTACTTTGCAACATTGAAATGGCAACTGACCCAAATAAGTCCCTCAAAATATGGCCACTGATGACGTTATTTTAGATGGTTTAGGCCTGGCACAACACACACTTTTTTCTGAATGTGTCGTGCACCATTTTTAGAGTTCCCACTTGATATTCTTTGTAAGTGCCGATTGTGAAAAAAGAACTGGCTCAAAAATGGGCGTGGCCTGGGCGGGGCTAATACCCCACAGCCTTCTTTTCCCAGGAAAGTTTTTTAAATCTTTTTATCACATAATATCGCAATCCAAAAGTGCTGAAAATCTGAGCCCTATCGTCTGCAACCCTCCTTCCAAGACGGGTCCAAGTTTTTGCAAGGGTCTACATAAATCATAAAAATGTTTAGGTGACTTCGTATTACTTAATTCTTCAAATGTTTAACATATTTAGATTAGTATGTTGTCCAAAAAGAGTAGGGCTCTGAATACCTTACCCCTCCCCCCCCCCAAATTAGAATTTTCAAGAGTTACGCCTCGCTAAAATATTAGGTTGATCCGAGAGTTCTGTCGCACCGTTTTCAAAAAACCATAACGTCTTTCCCTCACAACGATTTTGCGCAATTCAAATTTTGTCAAAAAGCATAGAGCATGTAGTTCCTAAAAGTCCCCTGGAAACTTTCCAACATACCCAGGTTGCAGAGATAAAAATGAAAAAACGAGATCATCCGAAAATCGGAATTTTTAAGCAAAAATTCTAAAAATCTAGAAACTGTGCGATAAAATCCAGAAGAGCTGTCATCCTAAGTTTTCTTGTATTTTATTACTAAGTGAGTCAAGTTTGTGCTGATCGAGCTCTTATTTCAAAAGTTATGATTTTTTGAAAAAAAAAAATGGCGAAAAATCAATTTCCTAAGAAATCTTAAGAAATCGATTTTTTGGCATCTTTTTCAAAAAATCATAACTTCTGAAAGAAGAGCTCGATCAACACAAACTTGACTCACTTAGTAATAAAATACAAGAAAACTTAGGATGACAGCTCTTCTGGATTTTATCGCACAGTTTCTAGATTTTTAGAATTTTTGCTTAAAAATTCCGATTTTCGGATGATCTCGTTTTTTCATTTTTATCTCTGCAACCTGGGTATGTTGGAAAGTTTCCAGGGGACTTTTAGGAACTACATGCTCTATGCTTTTTGACAAAATTTGAATTGCGCAAAATCGTTGTGAGGGAAAGACGTTATGGTTTTTTGAAAATGGTGCGACAGAACTTTCGGTTCAACCTAATATTTGCGAAGTATTCTAGAAAGAATCTCGAATGGTGTGCTAACGGGCAGCCCTAACCACTCCAAAATTCTTCGGCTTATTTTACACAAAATAAGAATAATCTCCGCAACACCAAAATCTTCGCAGCGATTGTGATACCCCTCCCATCTCTAGAGGAAGAACACGAAAATGGAACGCTCGGCAAAAACTCGTGACTTTCCTTCCTAGAGAATGCCTGACATTTATTTTATATGTGTTAGCACCAGCGACATTTGAATTTATTGATGAAATTTTCCATGCGTCTTGGCCGGAAAAATCTGGGGTATCGCAGCTGCAGAGATTAATCGCTCAACTGCAGAAGTCTCAGTGGACTACAATTAGAATAGAAAGAGCATAAAATGCGAAAAAACTGAGGCATGAGGAACTTTTAAGTGTCATTGTCTTATGCTTCTGGATTACTGTAATCCTCAACTTTAGCGTTTCCTTTTTTACTGATCCGATTTTCGTTGACATTTCATACAAACAAAAATTTGCTCATTTATGAAAATTTCTGAATGAATTGTGGAATTAACTTCTGCTTCTCTTTCAGGAAACATTGAAGCTGCTGTGAAGCTGCTGTTAGTTCTTTGGGATTTCTTTCACTCATGAAACTTCTAGTGGACAGAAAACTTATAGGAAATCGCTGACACAAAATCACCGTACTTCAACCTTTTCTAAAAATTCAAAATTTTTTCACGATTTCGAGGCAAGATATCACAGGTAATCAATGAAAATATGTAGAAATGGACGAACACACCATGAGGAGATTGACAAACATCACGGTAATCAGTAAATTACGTAACTGCGGTAGAATGAGTGCAGGCGACGACGGAGAGATTTTGCGCGTTTTTGAAGTATGCACCGCGTTCTTTGGTATCTCGCTACTTTTGCAGGATTTTGCAGCAATATAACTTGCTTTGAACAAAATGTGCTAGTTTTATTTTGAATGATGTAGGTGAGAATAAGATTATTGGTCGTTTCTTACGAGAAGTCATCTGCTATTTGACAACCTACTAAATTTCCCTTTTCTGTACATTTTTGCACAATTTTATATGAAAAATGATGGTGTATCTAGAACCTTCGAACAAGACTACTATCTTGTTATCTAGTTTCGTATGTGCTTATTTTCACACCTTGAAGTTTGAAACCCATAGATCTTTTCCGAACAGGACCGTGCTGTTGCGAAGCGCAAAGCGTTTGCGCGTGTACTTGCACATAAAAACATGTTTCAGCAGGGCCTTTCATGTTGCATCGCGTTAGTGCATGTCAGGTAGCAGTCATATCATGTTGAGTTAAAGCTTTTCATCGCTTTCCTTTCCTTGTTCCACATGTGATCTTATCTCTCCCCTTCATTTCATCTACTAATTATAAGTTGAAATTATTGATTAATATCGATCAGTGGCTTCTAATCGTATAGTGGAAATATTTAGAACATTTGTAGAGAAGAATATCCTTTTCGAACCATTAATTTCGGTCTACTTCAACGACGCGACTCGCACTTTTTCTGCGCCTCACAGCCACCCGCTCAATCCAATTTGTGATCGTTGCCAATATCGATTACATTTCTCGTATTAGTTCTATTCACACATCTGTTTTCCATTGGTTTCATTTACTTTGAAGGTAAGTACATTTAGAGAATTCATCATTTTACAATGGCAACCTTTACTTATCTACTTAATGTTACGACCTTTACTTTACAAGTTTTTTCTCCTTTTGTAGGTGGACTACAGCAAGTCGGAATTTTAGTCTTTGGTAGGATAAATTGATGTGAAGTAAGTCATTTCATGCTATTGAGAACCAATCGTTATTTGTTTATTCAACCATTTCTTCCATCCCGCCCCTCCAACCTTCACGCCTTCGAAAATCTCTTCTTGCAGAAATCAAGCGTCATCCATTCTCCATACAAAATTCCATTCCGTTTTCAATTTTCCTTATCGTTTTCTACGATCAACATTGATATTTGGGAAGTCTCTTTCGCGTCGTCACATGTCGTGTTTTTTCTCGCTTTTGTCACTCTGATCGTTATGTTTTCGCACAATTTTGCACTCTATCTTCTATCAGGCAACCCGGTTGGTGCTGAATGTCATCTGATAGTGAGCTACATTCTTTTTAGCAGTTGTAACTCACGGTCCCAATATCGCGTCCGTTTGACTAATTTGCTTAGGATTAGTGAACATTCCCAATTATACCTGGACTTTTCTGTTCTTCTACCTCTGTGTGCGTTTTTGCAGGGAACTAGTTTTTCAGCTTCCAGGCAGTTTAACACATCACTTCTGGCGGCATGCCAGAGCACACCATGCACTCAACTTTTTCACAGTCTCTTATGACCTTACTAGAGAGTTGCTATTGATCAGCTGTACGGATTGTTCGTTTCACGGTACGTTTGCGGTCAATGAAACCTAAAGCTAAGACTTTCAAAGCAGCTTTTAGTTTTCTTCTACTTTACACATCATGTTTTGCTTTTTATTTCTGCTTTTGTGTTATTTTTTTCGTGATCATCAGGCACTTATGTTATTATAAATATCCTAATCCCACTCGATCCTTTTCTTGAATAAACGAATCCTCTTCGCTAGTTGTTTCGTCGGCGAGATGATTGTTCGACGGGGTGGTGGTGATGGTTGGTGGGTTGTCTGCCGCAAAAGGTCAGCGGGCACGCGTCGCCTACATAAACCCTCGTTTACTCCCTCACACGCAAATTATGAGCAACACATCGTCTATTCCCCTATCTCATCCTTAAACGGCCTATTTGGGAGAAAGGGGGGGGGGGAATGAGTGGGCCAGGGGAGTCGTTTTTTATCAAGACCACCTCATATCTGTCCTGTTTAGTACGAGAAATTTCTCTCCTGTAATGTTCGTTATGTTTTATAGGCAAGATCATCCTTTCATCCATCCAGGCTAAGTTGCACTTTTGCCGATCTTCACATTTTGTGATCAACTCCAGTTTGGCGATTTTCGTCTTTGCCTATGTATCCCTCTCCTTCCCGGTTTCAGTTGAAATTGTTGAAAAAAGTTTCATCCAATTTGCACTTTGTTTCTGCAAGAGGTCGTTTTACATTTCTTATCACTCTTGGCAGCTGCAGTAACTCGTTTGTCTGGCACAAATGTGTTCACATCAATGTAATTCATCTGTCATAAGCCTTGTGCAGTGAACATACATGTTGTTCATCTCGACTCGAAGTGCTAAGCACCTCATTTTTTCAAATTCTGCTCTTTGCTGCACCTTCGAGACAACTGTTTCGCATAAATTTCGCTCGCTGTGGACACACACTCGATAGGCAGAACCCTACATTCGAAACTTCTACGGAAGAGCAGTCTGCTTATCTAATCTTGTGAAACCATTCACACTAGTTTTCATAAGATAAGTGTAGCGCTGTACTCCAACCGGGCGATCATTTGTCTTGGAAATGAGTAAGGCTTGAAACCTTCTTCTCACAATTGATTTGATTTGTAACAGCTGAATTCTATCGTTCTGAATTTTACCTTTTTCTTAGCGCACAATTTTTGCGAACAAGATTTTGCATCTTATACCCAGCAAGTGTTGAGTTGTTGTTATTTTATGTTATCATCTTGAATTTCTTAATTTCAAGTGTCAGCTATATTCTAAAAATGTTGGGGCATTCATGCTATTGAGGTTATTTTTGAATGCATAGGTTGTCAAACAACTTTCCACTGCTCCAGTCTTACTTCCACCGTACCCTATATGGCAGTTTAGGAAAAGGTTTTACAACTTTGGAAATAGTTAAGTGGCTACGAACTAAACTTCCCTTCTGCATCTGTTTACTCCGCGGTGTTTTATCCTTTTCAAGAAAGATTTGCAATATTGTAGTAATTTCCGATTTGCTCATTCTCTTTTCTTCCTTTTATAGATTGAGATTTCTAATTTAATGTCTATAATAAGCCACGATTTTTGGCTCATTCTTTTTTTCGTCCAACAGACTGAGATTTCTAATTTTAGTGTCTGTAATAAGCCGTGATTTTTGAAGTTCAGTCAACCATTTCTCTCCACAGTGTTGATGTTTGTGCGACTTTTTGTATTACTCACTATAAATAATATTTTATGTCTAACTTGGATGAGGTTAAACTCTGCGGCTGAATCTCCAGTCGCATAGTTTAATCACATCCAAGTTAGACATAAAATATCGTCTAGTACCTGAATTTTGTCAGCGTTGTTTTAATTTATTTTCTCAAGACAACTAACATACTTTCAGTCACTTCGTGTTTTTGCACTTACTGATTATTACTCACAATCAATATTACTCACATCATTACAGTCCTTTCTTCTCCAGTGCCCAGCTGAGTTATACTGAACTTACTTGTAGCCTACATACTACCTCTACTCCTTTTGGTGTCACGTATTCGCTCATAACTCAAACCTGAAAATCAAGTGAGCAACAATCAGTGCTTAAAGCTCACCTTATCAAAAAACGAGAAAGTATTCATGGATATTAGTGGGGAGGGGGCCGAGGATTTTCTTCTGGAGTAGGGGGGGGGCAAAAATTTCCTTTCAATGAAATAGTTGAACACGCACTCCAATAAATTTTTGGGATGCTTCACAAATTTTGCTGCACCGTACTCCGAAATCTTAGAAGAAGGGGCGCAGCAACAGCGCGCCCTCCTCCCTCCCCCGAAAATATTTTTGCAAGGCTAAATCGAAATTAAAAAAATGAAAAAATTTAATTCAATCATTTGCAATACAAAAATCACTTGCACTTTTTATAGCTGAAATAGAAAATTCGTTGCCTATTCTCGGAGCGCCCCCTTCTCGCTCCGCCACTCCTGGGTATTTGTTTTAAAAATCCTATACTTTTATGTCAATAATTACTTCAGAAGATTGAAAATCAGTATTATTATCTCTCCATGTTAAAAACAATCAGCAACAACTTAAAAACTTCAAATATTTGAGTGATACATGTACTTTTATCTAGTGGAAACTTTGAAGTCACAATTAATCGTTCTAAATTGGGAGTTTTGTGCTATTTACTCAGTTCGATTACGTCAACCTCACTTCTATATATGGAGCAAAATAAGCGACTTGAAAAAATTTAATGAGGTTATATAGGACAGGAATATTGCAATTTAGCAAGTCTAGCGGAAATTTGTTGTAGTGGCAATGTACGCGTAAAAATCTGAGGCTCTTTTGATATGAGACAGTGTTCAAAAATCTAATTTTTTGATTTTTAGAAGTTACCTGCATGGATTATGAATCGTGGAAGTGACTTGTTTCTACAGGTAAATGAATGAAATAATTTTCAAAAATTTTGTAAAAATTAAATTAGATTTACGAAAAAAAATTTGAGGCGTGGCGAGTGAGTCCGAAAATTATTTGAATGACGTTCAATTTTCGGAAGGCATGACTAAAACCACGCCTCTTCATTCAAAAAATTTGTTTCGTCCCTCCCCCACCCCGCCCCTTGCAGAAATGTTTTGAACCGCTATCTCTCATACTACTCGTCCATGTTAGAATTAAAAGCCTTGACTAGCTCAAGACATAGAGCCTGATGAGGTCTTTTACCCATGCAATTAAAATTGAAGTTATAGCATTCGAATAAGTTTTGAAAGTAACACTTCTTCAGAATGCAGCATGTAAAGACTCAAATTATTTTCTTCGTGGTCCTTGAGTATTTGACGCCTCGCAAGCTATGAAGCTATTGTAAGCCTGTGTGTGTTGTGCAACTGCACTTTGTTTGTGTTGTGCAACTGCACTTTGCTTCTAACAGTTTTCGCTCAATGAAAACTTTTATAGTTTGAGAAAGTATGGACCAAAAGTCGGCTAGTTTTTTTCTTCATGTCAAACCGGTAACATTAATTTGTTGTCAATCATACATCGTCAGTGCAGCTTCCTTATCTGAAATTTACGCTCGCACTCGCAATCTCCGCTATTTAGACATGATGACTTCGCAAAGCGTACGCGTACGGACGTACGAACTGTGCAAGAGTGTTGTGCTGAAGTTGCACTTTATGAACCGCAACGATTGCGACGAAGCGCGCGCGACGGCTGGTTGACTGGCGTGCGCCGCTCATGCGCTCTGATACGCAGTTTCATGTCGGCGTCGACAACGATGTTCACGTATAGTGTCGTATCACCTCTTGAAGTAGAGAAAAACACTCATACGAATCGCGCTCACGTCCATATTTCACACCGGTTGCGGCGTCTTTGAAGCGTCTTCGAGTCTGCGTCAGCAATTGTGACAACGATTACGCCTGTTCACTCGCCTGTGTTCGCTTCTCTAATTGGGTTTTCTAGATAGCGGTAGCTTAGAGTTTCTGTACAGTCTTCTAACGTCCTTTCAAAAAACCTTGAGCTTGCAAGTTTGCATCGGCATGCAGTATCTAGATAGAGGAACAGTACGGCCGCTGCCACTTCCTCGGACAATTGGTCCTCCCACAATATACAGTAGCGTATGGAAGGACCAGTAGGTAGTCCGTGAAACAACCGCATTTATTCTGTGCCTGCAATCGAGAGCTTGTGGATTTTTTGACTAATCGTGAGGTTTAGTTGGTGGATCATTTTCTACTTTTTCTTGTATATGGATTCGAACGAGAACTTGCTTACTACGTTGACGGCGAGAAATTTTTCTTGGGGAGGAGCGACAGAAAGATTTTCAGTGAAAGTGTCGCGACAAAGAATTTTTTTTGATTGAAAGTGCGTGGCCTTGGCCAAACATTCCAAAAAAATTTTGTTGAGTTCCTTCCTAGAATTTTTGAGTTCATATATACTCGAAATTCTAGGAAAAAGAGCGTGATGCAGCTACGCTTCCGAAAAAATTTTTTTACAAAGCCAGCTTAATTTTCAATAATTCTAAAAATATTTCTAATTATTTACAAGTTAAAAGTCACTCTTTATTTTATAGCCCTGATTCTAAAAAAGGCGAACTTTTCGGAGCGGGCAGAGGTTCAGAGGTTGATATTTATTTATTTGCGGAAATGCTGCATTTATACTGCTGTTATTTCCCGGTAATCTGCGATTGCACACATTGCGCGCATGGAGCGTTTTGTCCCTGAACTCATTGTTTCTGCGCAGATCTTTTGAAATTGCAGTGTTTTTCTATGCCTATAACGAATACAAATTAAAGAGAAAGACGGAAAATGTACTTATTTTTTAGAAAATGCGCACTCGCTTTGACAGTAACACGTTGGGATGCAGAATGTGCAGTGAATGTTTTCTCATAAATTAGAATACAAAATGGCGTCCACAGTTATCGTAATGGCTTGATGGTGCTGCAGTCCAAAACTTTCAAACCCGTGTAGGGGCCTATCAGTCTAATATTCTCTGCTGTGTTTTAAGAAGTTTTGACAAATTGCTTCATAACCTAATGAAAAATGATGATCAATATGGTGATTTGCGTGTTTGGTTTTTGTGAGGTCAGACTGGGTCAGGCCGCACACATAACTGCGACCACCACGTCTGCGTCTGGACCAGAGCGCTGCTCACTCGACCTAACCTCCGCATCACATGTCCCGCAATTACTGGCCCAGTTACTCTCTTTGACCACCGAGCAATAGTGTCTTCCCCCTTCGCTTCGGCCCAAATCTGGTTTATCCTCTTGTTTATGTGTGTGTTTGACAACTGCTTTGGAATTCGCTACGGTAGTGAGTTGTCCAGCTGTTTTTGCTATTGGACATTCACTGAATTCGCTAAGTCTTATCTATGTCGTCATCAGTACCTGTAAACATGGTAACTCTCCCTAATCAAAAAACATTCCAAATTCCTCAAACTTCTCAGTCAGTTCATGCAGTTCTTCATTTTTTGAACTCTTACGGCATTTGCAGAGGATACGTCAACTAAAACCTTTTGAATTTGGATGCTTATCTCTGCGAACTTTCCGCTTTCTGGAGTTAATTCAGTTCCTGTTCACTGAAATACTTGCACTCATTGAGGATTGATTGCAGTTTCACTTTCTCTTGCGTGGATCTAACGATGGACTTTCTCCAGAAGAAATCGTCAGCGACGGATCCGTTGCGTGGCGATTTCATCGCAAGTGCATCGTCGTTAGCTTTTTCACAATCTGGTGAAAACAGAATGTGCAAAAATTTCCGGATTGCAAGATTACATTTCTGTATGCTTCACGTTTTCGTATCGCAAAATTTGGCGTAAGTTTTTGTGACGTGATTTGTCACCCTTTTGACGATTCTTACAGCTGTTCAAACCTAGCTAGTTTCAGTGGAAAGTTTGTAGCTTTACCCAAATTGTTTGCGTCTAGTTTCGGCGATTCTGTGGTATACGCGGGCAGGTGCTGCACCCTAGTATAGACTTGTTCATCTAAAGCAAGTCCATCCAAGTGAAAGAGATTTTTGTCGTAACGAGCGGCACTAGAAATTTGCAAATCCATAGCCGAAATTTGAGAAGGCAAAAAAAGCTCGGCTTTGTTCTCATGAATTTTGCACACAGTTTTCTTTGTTGTAAGTATGTAGAACCTTTGTCATTTTGCTCCCATCGTCCTTCTAAGTGTAAAACAAGTTGGCAACTTCAAAATTGACACGCGTATTAGTTGACACTTGTGTGTCATACATGACTAAAAGTTACGTATATTGACCTTCACTGGAATTTAATAAAACTATTTGTGAGATTGACTCAGCAACTTCGCTGCAAACACCTCTATTTGTTCATTGACTTTCCAGGAAGGTCTAATTAGCTAAACAACCGAAAGTTCATCATTTTTAGTTAAGGAATTCGATTATTTGCTCATTTCTTTAGTTTGCTAGGCACACAAGTCGAATTCTTTACACTTCATGGGTATCATCACACTGACTTCTTTATGTCCTGACTGCCAGATCATAGTCCGTCCAACAGCATCTATATAAATTGGTAAACTCATCATTGACGTAATTTGTGATTTGAGCAACAGCCAAGTTCATCTTAGTGATTCGCGAGGTGCCGCTGATTTTGTTCGCAACGTATTCGCATTCGTACCAACATTTTTCTTGCTTCAGTAGTTTGTCCATGTTGCAAATTTTGCATTTTGCTTCTAGCTGTTACTGAATTATAGTAGGCTATGGTGGGTGTTCAAAGCAGACAATGCACAAACAAGCCAAGCTGCGATGCGGAGCGATTGCATCTACATAGGTAGATGACATGACTGAGAATAGTTTGGGTCCTTCGCCAATGTGTTCTGCATTTTTGATCCTATATCGTCGTACAAGCGATTCACTTTCATTGTTTATATTGTTTACTAAAGTCAGCCAATAATGTTGCTTATCCACCAAGTCTATTGCACTTAGAGTATGAATTTTGAATCTTGCACATGTAATTCAATTCAGTTTTTGACTTTCGATAAGCCGTGTATGACCTATGTCCCAGCTTTTCCCATGGACCTCCGTTTCGCAAGCCTTTCGCGACTTTGAGCAGCTTTTGGCTTGTCTTTTTCGATGCAGTCAAAACTCGGTGCTTCTGTACCAACACTCCAAGAGCAGCGAAGGGGATGTGCAGTGGTAATCGGAAAAAGGACACAGGCTGTACTTAGTTTGTAATTTTGCTCTCTTACCTACGCTAATGTAGCTGAATAATAGAATGGCACCTTGTTAACCAGAAAATCAAATTATCTTTGGGCATGTTTGGGTTATCGAGATCACATCCGGTAATCGACGTTACACCTTTGCCTTGACAAAAAGTACTAAAAGTAGGCCTCTTTCAGGCAGTCAAGTACTTGTTGAAGCAAGTAGCACCCTGGCTAGTACTGGAGAGCCTGAAAGAAACAGTTCAATACTAGCAAGGGTGCTACTCAATGAATTCAAATAGCACCCTGGCTTTGAATAGATCTATCGAATTTTGTGTCGAAAATTAGCTTTTCTCGATGTCCTTTGCCTTTGAACGTTGTATGACTGTATTGTCACGCAATGCTTTGCTGGTGCTGGTGCAAAATGACTTTTCTTGCAACAGAGTTAGGTTGCAGTGTACTTTGTGTGAAGCGTTCATGTGTACCAAGTTGAAATTGCTTTGAAAGAGGAACTTAATTCGTTTCATTATGTTCAGAATTTCTACCATTTGTTTGTAACATGCCGTGCTGGGAAATCTCTTTTACCTACTTTTTGGAGAAGAAAGTGAGCGTATATTGTAGTTGTAAGTTATAGTTGGAAGTCACTTTCATGAAGATTTTGTAGCTGTTAGTCTATAATAGGAAGTCACTTCTTGAAAATTTTATTACGACAGTAGTTTTCCATTCTCTTTATATATTGATGTGTGCATGTCGCATTGTCACATTCATTCGAATCGCGTGTGCTCCATCGCACTATGTACTCTTATGAGCATATCACTTTTTCATTTTGAAGATATCGGCTTGCAGGATGCAGGTTGCTATGATGCCTGGCCAGTCACCATCCTCAACTTTAAATGGAAATGCCTCGACGCCGGATCCTCCGTGAGTCTTCGCTTAATTTTTCCATTTTCTTCGTTGCGGTACCTTTCACTTTCTTTTCTTACATGCCATTGCTTATTTTCTGCCGCACATTGACTTAGTCATGTGCTTTTGTGTTTGTGGAAGCACGAAACTGCAATGTTTTCCTTTGCTTTCCTCTTGCATTTATTCAACGTTCTTTTCCAATCTTTTTCTGCCTTGTAGTGCTCCTACATCGGACGGCGATCGTTTACGAGCATCGATGGAGGCTTGGAAGCGAAGTGCTGCCGTAGCAAGTGAACGCTATGAAGAAGCTAGACAGAGGCAAATTGCTGTTGAAAGAGATGATCGTCAGGAATTACGGAAAAGGTAAAGAAATTTCTTTGAATTTTCTACCGCCTTATTTGAACTGATTATTTTTGCGCCCTTACGGAACACTTAAGCACTTGTCATCTCATTTGCTGAGCTAGCAACTTCTCAGCGGTTGTAAATCTTGAGTTTTAAATAACAATCGGTTGAAATTTGCGTTGAATGCATGCTATAGTTCTTTTCGGACCATTTATCATCTGTGCAAGATTTTCTGTTGCCTTCAGGTGGTTGGAAGAAGAAGCGAAGAAGCGCTCCGAAAACCTGGGAAAACATAAGGAGGCTCTAAATAGTAACAATTTGGCATCGACCATGCCACCGCCCTTGTATCAGTCCACTCCTATCAGTCGGGTAAGTTTTCCTCAAATTACTTTTTGGATTCTCGTGTTTCCATAATTTTCTCTTTATGATTTTTTGCAATGTTGCATTGTAAATCATTTCTTGAATGATGTGCCGTTGCTATAGGATAATAGAAAACGTCATCTCGATGTGAACGATTATGGCCACGAAGAGTGGAGACAAGGTTTTCGAATGATGGAAGGTTTGTTTGCTTAGGATTTGATGTGTAGTGCAAACAACGTAGTGACGAATTTGTTCGATTTTCAGGTGGATGCATGCCTGATATGTCGAAAACGTCCTCGGATATGTACTCTAACATGAGTTATCCACCAAATGGAGCCGGTTTCTATCCAGGAATGATGGTAATACTGCATACCAGCATGTGTATCAATTCATGTATCGAAACTTTTCTTGCAGGTTCCAAATATGCATCAACAATCCGTCAAAGGTATGCCACCTGGATATTGCCAAGGTCCGTACGCCAACAACACTGCCTATCCGCCTGGTTCATACCCCACTAACACTGGCATACCGAACATGGCTAATGGCCAATTCCCTACCTCCAAATCCACTCCCTCCTTCCGAACAGCGTCGTACCCAACACCTGCTGGTGCACCTCCCTCGATGACGTGCTCTACGATGCCGTCCACGTCTACGGCTGATTCGACGCCAAATCAACGGTTCAGTTCTATGGACCTGCCTCAGTTCCCTGTTTCTGCGGATTCCACGCCTACACTGCCACAGCAGCCACATTCGCAGTTTTCGACAACGGATTCTACGCCGTACAATTGTGGAATTCGACCGAGTCCGTCGATGTGTCCAACGTCGCCGAATGAGGTTGGTTCTTGACAAGAGATTGAGCTGCTTTTTTGCTTGTTTTTAGTATATAGTTCCCTAAAAAATACAAAATTTTTGACAAAAATTACTTTTTACTGCTTTACAAGCTGTTTCCTTCCGGATCGTTTTTTTAACATAAGTTCTAGCTTGACCTGCACTTTATTTCGCTGGTCGTTTACAGCTTACCTTCTTACTACAAAAAAAAAATCGTACATTTTGTCTGGGGTTCTTTTGGTGAAATTCATGGAACCGCATAACCACTAAGCTCCAGATGTTGGTCAGTTCATCTACCTGTTTAGGTGCCAACTCCCCCAGCATTGGCCAGCTCAACGAGCGTTCCTGTTGGAGGTTCTTGTCCCAACTCAACGGCTGCTGTTGAACAGAATCTTCGTAGCCCTGCAGAAGATCTCGGATGCAACGCTGTCAATGAGGACAACATGACGCGGATGCTAACTACGATACGAAATGACAGTCTTGGGATGTTAGGAGCGGATGCTGTCGACTCATTATTCGACAACGAAAGTAATGGCGAAAACAGCGCTGGACAGGTGCCGCTGGTGACGTCGACGGACAATACTTCATCTCCCGCTCCGTTTTCTCACGGAGGACCGCAAAGTGTTCACTCCGTGCACTCGGTCAGTTTGAAATTGGTCAGCTTTTTTCCAGTCCATTTCGTGTCACTTTTTTATCTCCTTTAGGCCCCTCAAAGCAATGGAAATTGCAACCCGCCCTCCACTCCTACGGCATCCGTTGCGACTCCATCAGCTCCGCAATCGACCACGTTCAATCAGCAAGTATCAGGCTCACAATCCACTTTTCCTCAAGCATCTCCGTCACATTCCTCATCATTCCCCTTGCCTTCCCCATCGCAGCAGCCAAATGGATACCCTCAAACGATAGCACCCGGCCAACCGTCGCCTTTCACCCAAAACTCACAATCGCAATCTTCGTTCTTCACGCAATCATCATCCTCGCAAAGTGGAAACTTTTCAAACTCGATGGCTCAATCGACGTCGTTTCCGATGGCGCCTTCATCTCAAACTGCCGGATTCGCTACCGCAACACCTGCTCAGCCATCTGCCTTTCCACAGCAGCAAAATGTCATGCAGCAGAATGCGTTCGCTCAGCAGATGCCGACAGCTTCAGGAGGATTCGCGCAACAGGGTCCAATGGCAGCGACATCGACTCCATACCCCGCGCCAGGCGTTGGAGGAGTCATGGGTCCAGAATCAGGTTTTGTTGGACAACAGGGCATGATGAACTCAGGATTTGCCATGAATGGGTGAGCATTCTTTTTATTTTCGCTTTGGTAAAAAATTTCTTTCTTTCTTGTTAGACTTTGTTTTCACTAGAAGTTCAACATTTTCATTTACTTTTTATCTCAGCTTTTATCTTAACATCTTATTTTATTCACTTTAGCTATCCCAGTTACGATATGCAATCGGCTCAAATGAACCAACAACAACTTGCAATGCAGGTTTGAATTTGTTCCTGACTTCTGATGCACTATTTGTATCGGTGCAAACAGCTATTGAAACTAGTTTAGGCTCAACAGCAGCAAATGTCGATGGGAATGAACGGGGCTGGTGCTATGACTGCCCAACAGTATCACATGGTCATGATGCAGAAACATCAACAAATGAAAGCTATGATGCAACAACGAGGTATTTACTTTACTTGTTAGAATTCCGGTATATTTTCTGATGAAAATTTTCAGCAGCTCTCATGTACCAAGGTTATCCGAACGGAGCTATGTCGCAACAGCAGTATTTTATGCATATGCAGAAGATGCAACAATCGCGGTATGTTTCTGGGAATTTCTCTTCAAAATGTTTTTTTTTGTTTCTTCGTGGAATTTTATTTTGTGGAGCTTTCTATTTTCCCATAGCGAGGTTTCTAGCGGGAATTTTTCAAACTATAAAATCTCAGTTGATAATCGTACCTATTTTAACTTTTAACGAATATCCGCTAGTCGTTTGTAATTAACATATGAGTCTGCACACTTTGCGCGGCAGTTTACGACATTTTTTCAAGTAACTCACCAGTAAAAACTTTCTAAGTGTAACAAAGCGTAAAAATGTTTACCACCCAATACATAAATCAAATCAAAAAAAGAAAGAAAAGGAGGAACCAGTAGAACTGAGCAGATTCTAATTGTACCAGTCGTCAAGTAGGGCGCATAGTGTGCAATACGCATTACGAATGGCTCGACGGTTGTTTCACATTCCTTTCATAAATTAGAGGCTTTTCTTAGTAAAAAGTTGAACATAAGATCAAGTCATGCTAGGGCAAGCGGATAAATCCTTTTAGGATCGTTTAGAATCGCTTTCTTGCATTGATTGTATTCCAATCTCACTTTTGTGAACATTCAAGAGAACTGATATTTTGTCTTGAATAGTTTCAATAACATGCATTCTGCTATATATTTGTTATACCATTGATTACAAGAATCATGCTCAAAAATAATTTTGCAGATTCGCAAGTGGTATGGATCCTTCCAATCCGGCATTTATGGGCGGCCAACGAATGATGGGAATGAGAGGAGGTCCCATGGCCCCCGGCTCGATGATGGAGCCTATGGCACCGACCGGTCCCTATCCAGCGTATTCACAAGGCATGCAACCGTTTGCACCACAACAGCAGTACGTAGGACAATTCACAATGAACTAAGGCGTTTATGTTTTGTACGATGAAGCGAGATTAGCACATAGCGCAGGAACTAATCCACAAAAGGAATAATGGTGCTGGCCGTCATCAGGACTTCTGCGACCGTGTATCTTCTTGAACGTCCGGATCAAGTCAAGCAGGTATTGCTGCTCTTTCTCAGCTGGCCGCAGCTCGCTGGGTCGATCTGCAGCTATTTTTTTCATCACATCCTTTTCTTATATCGGGTAACAGGGTTACATATCCGGGGAGATTGTGTAACGCATTGTGTTTGTTCTTGTCGGGAGGATCTCGACTATATCTTGTCATTTTTTTGTGTGTTTATAATGTTATGTTATATGTTTTCCAATGATGTTTTTTCTTTGTTATCTATGTCCATCCTCGTTTATTATATCATAGCTATTAAGTTTCCTCACGGAAACTCTAAATATTAGTATTGATGAATTTGGTGGGTTTGAAACTCACTTGTAACTCTGAGGTTTTTTTGATGTTTAGCCTCGAACTTGCCTATAGTTGTGACAGACGCTGCGTCCCTCTCATTTACTCGCTTTTACACTTCAAGCCCGGTGATGTCCATATTAATCGTGCGGTTAGAGAGCATTTCGTTCTAAATCATCGAGCCCTGGACGGTTCTTCTTAGCCTTACTCGAGTCGTTTGTCCATCACACATTTCTTTGCTAGTTTCTTGAGAATGATTGTGTACACTGTGAAACAGAACGACCTAAGAGTTCCATATTGTATGATAAAATGTTTTTATTCAAGGCATTCTGATATCACTTCAATATGCACAGCAAAGAAAGAGTAATCGCAGTCAGACTGGCGCTTTTGCCGTGAATCGATTGCGGTTTTGCAAAATGAGAGAGCTGAGGCGATGCGATCAAGGGTATTTAACAAATGCTTGAGCGCGAGCCAGCCCTAGATGGACTTGGCTCAAATCTATGAAAAATTTTCGCAGAGAAGCTGGCGCTTTCACAATTCTGAAGCACCAACAATGTGAGAAAAGAGCGGAAAGAAAAGGAAAGAAATCACGGAAATGATAAAGAACAGCTTCAACAGATGTGAAAATAACCGTTTTCAATTTAGTATACGATAGCAACAAACAATTCTGCACAATAAAAATATTTGAGAAAATGCATGAAAGATGGGAAAATCGGTGAAAGAGATGACTAGGAGAGCTTCGATATACGCATCGGTTTTAGCATCAATATCTATTCGTTTTGCTTTGGCTTTGATAAATCTGATTTCTAATGGGAATAAATCATGTGAAGACCCTGACTCGTGTACAGAAATTTTCCAATATAGGGTTTAGATGGGAAAGTTTTCTGGGAATTAACTGTAGTTACCGTTTTTGGTACTCAGCTAATGGTTTAATAATTCCATCATTGTAAGCGCGTAGAATCGACTCGCATACGAATGTGTACTGACCCTGAAAATTGGGAGAAGTTAGATTTTGGGCAGATTTTTTTGGAAAATTTGTAGAATTTACCACAGTCTGAATGGCCATTGCTCGCTGATCTCGCATTACCCGTACGATGTCTAGCGGATAGACTGGTTCATTGGCTTCGACAAGACAAGCAGCTGTTTCCATAAGGATTAGCACTCCGGTACGGCCGATTCCAGCCGAACAGTGCACTACGATCGGATCCACACTGCCAGCTCTTGCACGACGAACCTGGAGTTTAGGAATTTTTAGATGCAGAAAAACTGAAAAGAGCGGCTTACCTCGTCAACAAAAGCGATAAAATGCTGTGGATCATCTGGAACTCCATGATCTGGCCATGCCGTATATTGCATTTGCGTCACCCGCCGTTCTTCTTTCGACTGAAAAAAAAAAATCGTTCAAAAGCTCTACCCACTAATTTGACAATTCTAGAGCACTGTCCAGGCAGCGGTACCTAACTTTTTTTATACGAAAACTGATGGCCCAAACGGCAGCTTACATGGTACAATCGCAGCCGAGAAATTCAGCTCTGAGTTCGCGCCCTGTACCGTACTCTGCGGACGGATCAATGCCCTCAATACGGTAGTGGGCGCAACTTTGAAGCTAAAATTCTCAGCAACGAATCTATCATATGAGCTGCGGCTTGGGCATGGTTTATCCAGGCCTCCTTGTTATCCACGCTTAGTATCCACATAGGGAATCCAAGTCCCCCTCCCCCCCCCCCCAATTTTCACTGCCTATAGTCTTCTAAGCCTACAAAATCTTGGAAAATGTTTTCCTTCTTCGGATACCCAGTTGCTCGGACATGCTTATTATTAATGAGGTTTTCAAAAGATTTTTGCTATATTTCTACGGAAGAGGTTTTCAAAAACATTTTTCTACGTTTTCACAGTCCCAGGCCTCATATAGGATTTTCCCCACAACATACCGTCCGATCTTTCACAGCGAATTCTCTGTAGGAACAGTTGGGCGTTTCACGATCTCGAATGCATGTCACCAGTAATCGGCCATACTCATGGCTTTCATGTAATCTAAATGGAAGATATTTAGCTGAAAAATAAACCTTTTATCTTCATTTTTGGGCGTGCCCAAATTAAAAAAAAAGCAATTTCTCTAGATCTTTACATATCTGCGACAAAGTGACGATTCATGAATTCTGTTAAATTCAATTATTAGCGTTCTGTAAAGAGGTAAGGACTTACCTTGGCCAATACTGATGACATTTTGCTCGTCCACGTTCAATCGTTGTTGTAAGCATGACGATATGTGTACACAACTGTTCCCAAACCATCAACCAATGGTCAGCTGAGGTGTGAGCTAGAGGTCCTTGACATGCTATGTAGCGATTCACTATACCCGATGAAGGAATTTCCATCTGCAAAATAACCTTGAAAATTTTTTAGTACAAATTTGGAAACTGGAAACTCACATTAACATAATTAGCATTAATGTAGTCACCATTTGGTGATGATACAAGATGTACCCTTGTGGCATCATATGGACAAACATCTCGGTACCTGAGGTTGAAAAATCAACATATTTTTTGGAGACGCAGGAAATTGTAAATTTACCTATTTTTGTTGAGATTTTGAGGTAGTCTACAGTCATTCATGGTCATTCCTGGCTTTTTTCGATACAGCTGCTGAAACGGGAGAAAATTCAACACTTTTATGTTGTGAAGGCTGAACTGTACTGACCACTAGTTTGTTTCCTGTTCCCCCCCCCCCCCCCTTGGTCTCGCAAAAATTATGGTCCCACCTCAAAATGAGCCACTATCCGTCCTGTCGTGAGGGCATCACTTAGAAGTCGTAACGAATGTGAGAGTTTATCACTTCGAGGTACGCTTTCCGCTACCTTCAGCGATTCGGGTACGGTAGCTCCTTCAGGTTCATCGACTTCTTCGCCAAGACGGTAAACTAAATTACAAAGAGTCTTGAGTTGGGTTGCTACAAAAGTCAAGAATGCTGAAAAATTGTCACTCCCAATTTTTTTTGGTTCAAAATCGATAGAAACTAAAATAAAAAAGAAATCACTGAATATCCAACAAACCATTTGGCTTCACTGTCAACACCAGTTCGCCACCATTTGGCGCGACTCGCGCACTTCGAATAAAGTCCACCACCATATCGTGAGACATTGGAGCAACATCCCGGCCGTTAATGAACAGGACCTATAAGAGAATGTGTTTTGAAAAAAAGCCGAAAACCAGAAACCAATGGTCCAAAAAGTTTTGTTTACCTGGTCTCCCTCGTTCAGACGAGGATGCGCTTTATCAGCTGAGCTACCAGGAGCGACTCGCGACACAATGACTGGGTAATTTTGGTCAGCACCACCCTAGAATAAATTAAAATCAATTCTTTTTGAAATTATCAAGGACGGTGAGTAAATCTGAAGGGCGGCGTCCAGGCAAAATGATGGCTACCGGAATTTGAAGCGTTGCAGTGGCAAGCCCCCCAACTAATCCATCAATGAAGTCTGGAGCCAAAAAGCGCTCTGAGGAACTCGAAATCCACTTTGACTTACGAACCCCGCCCCTTAGTTACGAACCCCGCCCACGTACACGTTTGCACCTCCGGGCGGACATGGCTTCTAAAAAAGCCCATTGCCGCCGTTTTCGTGCGCTGTAAAGCCCACATATGGGTTCAGCATGGCGAGGAGGCTCCCAAAACGTGGAATATTGGAAAGCGAGGTTTTGTCGGGACACTGCCTTCAACTTAAACAATGCGAAGAAGTAAATAAATACCTTGACATTGAATCCAAATCGTCCCAAACTGTCTGGTCTCATCCTCACCGTAACAAGCGAATCCTCAGTGACCGGCGAGTTTGACTAAAATATGATAAAATCATTGGAGGTTCGACGGGAATACTAATTAGACAAAAATTATGCAAGAAATAAAAATAAACTACATGAACAAAATTTCAATATAAAACAGCGAGCCCTATTACCAAGTGGTGACTACGATTTTTTAAACCCCAAAAATAAACCGCTACTTAGCAGTAACCTGCCGAGGGGGTCGCGAAATTTTTGAAAGCTACTCATATGAGTTATAAAAATGTGCAAGCAACTTGTTTATACTTGTAAATGATTAATATGATTTTTTGAAATTTTTAAAAATTCGATTTAGCCTCTAAAAGAGATATTTCAGGATTATGGGCCCGCAAAAATTTAAGCATACCAAAAATTTTCGGAGTGCGTCGCTGAAGCCACGTACCTTCATCGAAAAAAATTTAGTGTCCCCCCTTCCCTCCTCCTCCCCCTAACGGAAATCCTGGGTGCGCGTCTGCTACATAGTAATACTATGAAAACCACAAATAAAAAATTCTACAAAAAATTCTGCTGTCTTGAATGCTTCGAATGCCCATTTCGGCGGAATTTTTTCCTCTACTCCCTTCTCCACCCTCTCTCAAAATTATTCGTGCTTGTTCGCAATGATCCCAGAAAATTTTCGCTTCGCCGACTTTCTGACAAGTTCTCTACGTAATTTTTCTTTTCAGCTTCTATGTAATTAGCGCTAAACCAGATACTTTTATCATGCTTGACTAACCCGCGCCGATCTACCACCTGTAGCGAGACGGGCGCCATCGCCAACGACGACTTTCTTCTAGCAGGATTTTATGCTGGCTTGTTCCAGTTTACATTTTTCTTAGCGATAGAGAAAAGCGGTTGTAGCTTGTAGCATGCAGGAGTTCCGAAGCTAGTTTATTGTGAGCTTAGCCCTAATGACAAGCATTCCGAGGCTAATCTTCGAAATGGCGGTAAGCTCTTGAATTTTGATGCTAGTCTTTCAGAGTTTCAGAACGAATGAGAAGCAGGAACTTTGGATGAGTTTCCTAGAAATTTCATATTTCAAAATATCGCTAAAAATTGTAACTGCAGTTCAAAGTTGTGCGAAGATGGCTGGAACGAAACTGCACGGGATGTGCACAAATTTCCAGCAGTTCGATATTCGAGAATAGTGTACTTGGATTAGAAACTTTATACAAAATAGTTCTAGACAATTGTACAAAAATGAATTGTGCGCCATCATAATTCTCAAATATCTGAAAAACTATGCAAAATGCTTTCTCTGAAAAAAGACGATATTTTGAACGATTTTTCTATGCTGATACTCACTAGAATATTATATCTATTACTTTTTCTCTCCGTTTCGTTCCTCCTTCAGACGGAGTATGACTTGATTTCTAAGTCTTCCCCGAAGCTCCTCAGTAAGGAAGGAAGACTTAGCATTGAGTAAAAAGTTGGAATTTAGTAATTTTTGGAATTTTTTCTAAACTAAGAATGAGCCAATCCCTTTAGTGTTTATATGCCTCATTCTATAATTTAAGTTGAAAAAATTCGAGAATAAAATTCAAGAAAATGTCAGATCTAATTTTTCTCACATTCATAGTTTTCACGAAGTGTCTACAAAACCCATACAAAAAGCTATCTCTGAGAGAACAAACATCATAATTTGGGAGATTTTTCGAATGGTTGCTCTGTGCCGAGTTGCAACCAGTGAATTATTTCTACTTCCGCAACTTTGTGCTTAGAATATATTCTAAGTTTAACATATGATGGAGTTCAGAGCAAAAGGTGGCGAAACGAATGATTATAAAATCTCTGTTCGTCTCTTTGCCGCTCAATCAAAAAAATAGTGGTTAAGTGAACAGAGAACTGAGTGATGACCTTGCAAAACCAGCTCGAATGACTACTTATTCAAAGTTTTTCGAATTTCTACACTCTTATAGTTCACGCAGCAAGGTCAGTTAGCATCAATAGCAATCTAACAACTTCAGAAAAAGGTCTAGCAGTACTGGTGCGATGAACTTCGAAACACTGAAGTAAATTTCACAAGGTGCAGAATTACAAGCGAAAGGTTTCCAGCAAGGAACAATGCAGCGAGCACCAAGAATTTGAATGACTTCGAAAGAGCCCTAACAATCCACTCCTCCAGACAGGATGCGGAGGGGTCAGGACCGGTTCAAAACGCCCCTAGCAAAAGACAGCTAGGCAAACACTCATGTATGAATGAGCGAGGAATGACTGGATGACAATAGAGCACAAAAGAGCCGTAAACGAGGAAATTTGACCGGAAAAGGCCGAGGAGGAACGGAAAGAACAAAAATGGATGTGCCGATTGTGTAGGAAAAATACAAAATGATTTTGTAAGTTGGACTAGATATGGATGACTGATTCACTACACTATGGTTCAACTTTGTTGTTTTTCCCTTTTTATTCGTTGTCGTTTTATACACCATGCTCTGATCTGGTTTTATTGTATTGAAGCACGTCTTTTGGCGTACAAAATAAATGAATAAATAAATTCGAGAAAAGAGAGCTATTTGTAGATGTTTAATATTTGTAAATAAAGGGCTCAAACCATCACAAAATATTCCATTTTTTGAATTCTCACTCGTGGAAGTCCTTGATCAAAAGATAATCTTTCACCTTCGTTAACGTAAAATTTTGCTTAAAAACAAATCCAAGAATGAAAAAAATATTTCTACACTACGAGACGGAGCCTGCAACGCGTGCATTATAACAAGCTCAGGCTTGTTTGTTTGCTTGTTCTCCCAGATAGATAATAAAAAAATCCATTTTGTGTAAAGCACAGGATTGACTTGTTAAGTGAGCGTACGCAGCTTGCTTAAGTCTTCTAGTCTGCAAAAAAGTGTAAACTAATTTAGTGGATCGGTAGTGCGAAAACCAAAATTCAAAAACCTAATGCCTTTCTAATAATTTCAACGTTTCACAAGTTGTATAATACATTCCAAAATAAGTCCTCTCTAAGGGCTCAAAATAATCGTTCACACTTTTCTTCATTACGAGAGGCTCTGAGAATTTTGCGAAATTTTTTGCTTCGTATAATGGCAAAAACTTTGAAGGGGTTTGGTGATTCTACCAATATAATAAAAAAATTATGTGTTACTTCTTCACTCCGTTTCGTTCCTTCACTTAGACGGAGTATGAGTTGATTTCTAAGTCTTCTGCCGAACTACTCCGTGAGGAAGGAAGACTTAGTATTAGTAAAAAGTTGGAATTTAGAGTAATTTTTTTAAGCATAGTCAACTATAATACATTCAAAGTCAAATTTATGTAAGAGTGTAGCACGCCTTACTTTCAATAACCGCGTCAATCCCAGATATGTCTCGATCCAAGACATGAATTTTCTTTCTTATGTGAGCACCCTATTTGTTTGGATTTTTTGCGAAAAAGGCGATATTATATAAAGCCATTACGTACAAGTATAATTACATGGAAATTTAAAAACACTAAATAGTTAATTAATTTCATTCAGCAAAAAATAGGCATTAGCTAGATCAATCTCGGTCCTGACCCATCCTTCCAACCTGATCTTGCCCCCCCCCCCCCTCTCTTCCTATAAATACCCCTGCTATAAATACAGCCCCATGCTCAAGACCACCACTGATATTTTCACTCCTTCCCTACCGATGAGTATCGGGAGTGTTTAGTCTTTCTATTACCTGTCTAGGAGTAAGGAGCGAAACAAAACTTTTCATCATCAAAAAAACTATTCTTATTAGCGTATAAATGATAGATAAAATACTAGAAAGCTAATAAGGTTTACCTTGTTACTTTGCGGTGACCGTCGTGCCATAGGAGGACTAGCACCTATACCTGAGGTATGTGACGAATAGCTGTAAAAACACAATTTTGTGCACCCAAGCCATCAGAAGACAAACACACAGCCTTCTCCATAAAGGTAAGACCAGCCAGAATAAAATCAGCTGACCTTGCAACAGAGGATCGTGGGCTGGCTCCACATCCCTGGCTGAGTCTCGGCGATGCTCTCGCGGTGTTCAATGGCGGTTTCGAGGAAAGTGCTAAACGAGAAGGCGCTTAGCAGCAGAGCACTCAAACATTTAGTGTTTTTCTGCGTGCGCAGCGCTGTGTTGCACGCGCACTTGCACAAAATTACTCAGACACAACACTTCTACCAAAAAAGCGATCGAACTCACTGCCATTCGTGTATCCATTACTCAACGCAGAAGTGGGTGTTGAGTACGTACCGTACGCGCTCGATGCTTGACCGCATCCGTTGGTGAGGAATCCGTTCGTCTTGCTACGTCCATTCGTAACCCCAGTACCGCCGCTTGGCGGGCGATGGTGAACGGCCGCTGTTGATGTGCATGCCTGAAAAGAACACGAAATCAAGTATAGTCTCCTTCTCTCTTTGCTAAAAAATGTGCTTAACGCCTTCAGTGCGACGATTTGCCCGCTGTCTATTCCTCTAAAGCCAGAAAAAGCTGGAAATGTCAAGGTCAACTGCCGCCACGCACGTCAAGCAAACATGGTTCCTCTGAGGGGAGCGAAATGATCAAAGAGGGTTTTGTAAATGTCTACTACCCATTTTGCTAAGACGTATGCAATAGGACTGTAGAACATGCGTTACGAACCACTGAAAGTAGAAATCAGCTTTTTTTTAATAGAAAAATTGATTCTAGAGAACTCAATGACAGCAAGCGGCATCGACATGCTAGTGATTTAGGAGAAAGAGAAATTAATAATTTGGCTCAAAGAAAACCTCAAAGTCATCATTTATACAGTAAATAGCTTTCGTTAGTATTAGGATGTCTCATGTTTTTTTCACCGTTTTTACCCCAATTCAGCATTTCTCGAGAACTGGGCACCTTCAAAGTTTACAAATACATGATCGTACTTCTGAATGTATTGCTATATGATCAGTGCGTTGAAGAAGCTCAGGATGTCTAGAGGCAGAGTTTGCCTTTTTACCCCATTCATTTTTTTTCTTTATTTCTAGCCATGGAAAAATACGAAAGGCGCTCTGTGAAGCATACGCTAGGATGAATGGAGAATTTTCAAGACATTTTGGAATGTATTTTGAAGGAAAAGTTCGTTTTTGACTGCTATCAGATTTCAGCTCGCAACTTCCGATGGAATACGATTTGGGCGGATTGTTCAAAGCCGTCTAGAGCTTGCTTTGCACTGTCGAATTATTAGTCAAGCCACATAAATTGAAGGAAAAATACAAAGAGACGATGGTTCCAAGTGAAAACGGCAAAAAATTATGGGCTCCCTCAACAATTCCTACATTTTCATGAGATTGTATGAGTTTTAGTTCAGATAATCGCTTTTCTTGACGAAGAGATAAGACTTTTAGATAATGAAAGGGAAGCATAAATAAGTATGAATGCTCACTGGTCAAGGGATCTGAATTATAAATTTAATATACGGAGATTTTCAAAGCTTCTTCAATTTAGCAACTTTGTATTTCAAAGTCAGAGCTATCTCATTATCAGTAGCCTATCTGGCAGAAGTTCTGTTAGTTCAAAATAAGTGCTTTTGCGATAAGCAGTTAGAGAACAGTGACAAAAAGGATGAATTTACAATCATTATTTTGTTCTCAAATAATGACTAGATTTGTTTCACCAAACAGCTTCAGTTTTTAGAAAAAAAACTAGAATAAATTTTTAAAGTTTAGTGCGTCGATAAATTGCTTTCCCAACTCAATACGCAATAAGCAACTTCGGTTACACTAGAGCATTTTTTTGAGAATTAGAAAATTTAGTAAAGGAGGAAAACTCAACGACCGACAAATATTATCGATTCTAAGAGACATATCGCAAAAAACAAAACTCCCATGCAACTTTCAAGACTAAAGTAAACATACAAATAACATTTTCTCATTTGCAATCAAGCCTGCAAAGCTGCTCATTTTTTACGCGCTTACTGGTAATTGCTTTGCCCTTTGCACAGGATCAGAAAACAGATAAATTCTAAAAAAGAGGAAGCCGGTTTTCAGCTTTAAATGCACAGAAGACTAGTTTGGCAATTTGCAGATGTAAATAGGATAGCTTAAATTTTGATGTTACAGCTGGGCTCCATACTCAAATGTATTTAATATTTTACTAGACCAACTGCAAGCTGAAAAAGGGGAAGAGATTTGACCCTACCTCAGAAGAAAATCTGGACAAATTTTCCAGGACAAAAGCAACATTATTGACACTTATCGTGAAAAAATTTTATTTATTGTTCTAAAGATTGAAGTTTTGGTTATTTTTTAAAATTTTTCAATGGTGAGAGATAAGTTTCATCTACATTTGTAGATGAAACTTATCTGTCACCGTGACTCCAAGGTGCTTAGACTTCAAGACTAACACACTGCGCTCATAGTGCCTTTACAAAAAATCACAGATACCTAGAGCTCAGAAAGTGATAAGCAAAAGGCCTAGCTAACAAGGAAAGGATACTTAGTGACGTGGCCTTTTGCATTGATCTGTAGACCAGTAGCGCCTTGAAACGCTCATTCCAAATCTATCTTCACTATCTGCTTTGCGGCTCTCTAAACGAAATTATAGACTTTTTTCCATATTAATTTTGAAAGATCTAAGCAGTCAAAATCGTCAGCATCTGGACTCTTTTAAACTCTGATCTATAGGATGCAGTTTTCCTGAGCTTAATGTGTAGCTTTAATTTATTTGGACGCTCTTTTGTAGCGCGTAAGTAATTCCAACGATATTGGTGGATCCTGTCATCGAATCAGTGCAGATTTTGGTGGCAAGAAACATTCATAACTTCCTTCGGAAGAGCGCACAGCAGTCATCGAAAGCAGATTTGGAATCTGCGCTGCAAGATGCACTTAATGGTGTACGTTTCATTTCAAAAGGCCACGGTCACCAAGTATCGGTATTATAAAATAACTGTTAATACTCAGGGAAGCTAAGACTGCGACATTTACACTTTGATTTGTTTGACTAAAGTGGAAAAACGCTATGATTGAAGGTAATCGAGGACAGATATTAGGTCGGCGCGAAAGTTCTGTCTTTTCACTTTCAAAAATTTGTATCTTTGCGCTACTTCGACGGATTTGCTTGCTTATAATTTTATTAGAAAAAGCAAAGTTCTTCGCTTTCAAATAATGTCTTGTCTATCTTCTGCTTCAACCTGAGTGCAGACATAAAAAGGAAAAGTAAGAACATATAAGGTTTGACCATTTCAAATTAGGTCACCAAAAATCTGGAACGCTCTAGAAAAATCTGAAATCGCCATTGTATAGTTTTTCCTTGACTCTTTGCAACTGTGAAAAGTCTGTGCTGTTTTGACATCTCTGTGAAAAGTTTTTAAAATTCGAGTTTACTACAGAAAACACCAAAATCAATTATGTCACTTTTTTCGAAAATCATAACTTTTTACACAAACTTCTAAACAACCCGAGCTTTTCTCTGTTGGAACGAGTAGGTCGTAGGATTCATTTACTGACGATTACAGATTTTTCTGTATCTCTGCATTCAGTGTGAAAAAGAAACTCTGCAAGACAGTTTTTGAAAGCAAAAGACTTGTTCTTTCTTATCAAATTACAGACAAGCCAATCCGTTGAGATAGCAAAAAGTTACAATTTTTGAAAATGACACGACAGAACTTTCGGACTGACCTAATAATTCGAAGATGAAAAAGGTATACGTTGAAGAAGAAGCTAAAGTGGGCACTACATAGCTTTTGGTTTCAATTTCAAATTTAGCAACCCTTATTTCTCTAGTGGGGCTGAAGAAATTCGAAAACATTTGATGCTGTGTTAGGTAACACTGAAAAATGAACAATTTGTTGACTTTCTACCCATAAAATTCCTTCGAAAGGGCATCATTGTGAAAGAACGTACCCAAAAATTGGAAAAAAATTGACTGAAGTAAACAAAACAGACCAAGTTTGCATTATATTTATTAACCACTGAAAAACCCGTGATTTGAAGTATTGATATTTTGGTAAGTATTCCAAGAGATGTATACAGAAGTTTTCTCAGTTTGCCCAAAAAGTTTATCGTAAACTAGCAAAAACAAAAATTCAGGAAGAACGACCTAGCGGTGGGTCGTACTGTCCGTAATGGCAGGACACACGTATGACCCACCAGTGGGTCGTGAATGTGTGAGTTGTCGTGAATGTGCTAATGTGAGGGGTAGCCCTGCGCTTTTTTCTCCAAGAAATACCATTCTCATAGTACGTCTCTCCAGATTTTGCAAGTCAGTTACGGAACTGCTGTGGGTTACTACGTGTTTCGTTTGCGAGTATCGAAATTGGATCGCGACGTTTTGACACTTTTCGAAGGGAGCCCTACCAGCAAACAAATCACTAGACAAACAGTGGATAGAGCACTAGCTCGAAGCGTTAAACGACTTTGTCGAATCGATTACAGGGAATAAGAAGAAGGAGAGAAAACCTTAGGAATTTTATGTTTTAGAGAGACAGGGAAAAATGAGTTCAAAAAAAAATAAAGTACCTCTTTTTCAAAAAGTTTAATAGTGGCAGCGACGTCAATTTTCCGCTGCGTACGAATAGTAGAATATTTAGAAGACATTTTTTTGAAGTAGCTACGGTTTAGCTAGCAGAAATTCAGAAGACATAGCCAGTACGAAAGGCCAGAAACGAGCGAGCCGTCCGCTAATCCATGCTGGACGTCGTCGAGCAGAGCTGAGCCGAGAGCAGAACGAGCACCGAAGGCGGGCGCAGAGTGCGTAGCGGAGCTGTAACGGCTGTCCTCGACGAGACGCAAGAGCCCCGCAGTCGATCGACACCGGGGGGGGGGGGGTGGAGAGAAATCAGTGAGTATACGGGGGGAAAAGCGGAAAAGATCGTGAGTGAGAGCAGTGCGGAAGGCACTGCGAGAAAACCCCGTCGTGAAGAGTCAACACCAGAGCGCGGTTGCGGGGATTCCATGAGACGACGGCTGCGCAGAACTGTGCATGAGCATCAGTGCATCACAAGTAGCAATTATTTTGTAAATTCATATTTTTGCTGTGAAAATTCTTGCTTGGGCAATAGATCGTCTTTCTCAATTCTATGCTATATAAAGTTAGTCTTGAACTATTACTGATTTGCTACTTGAATTTTGCTTTAGATTATGACTCTATTTGTGGAAAGTTTTACTTAATCTGTTAAGTTGGTCCTTATGATTTCAGTTCTGTAGGACCTTAGATAGTGAAAATAAATGAAAAAATAATTATGGTCTTTGAGTCGGGTAATGATTGATTTCCTTGAGCTGCAAAAAAGTTTACATTGTAAACTTAACTCAAACTAATCAGAGAGAAAAAAGTGAGAAAATGCCTGGTTTCCTCACATAAAATCGCAGTTCATAAAAAGAATCTAAGATAGACTAATTTGGTGAGGTAATACAATTGAAAATTTTCGAAAGTCTGGCATATAGAGAAACTTCTAAGTCAAATGTATTTCCATATTGTCATAAACGAATTTGCACTTTACAAAATTCTGTCCAAAAAGCAGGCGTTCATGGAATCTGGAGCCTATACGCTGATTACCAGAAAAGAAGTGCTTTTTTAGCAGTAGGTGATTAAAATATTGTGCGAACAAGGTGCAGATTGCAGGAATTTTCTTCTACATCCTGGGAAGACGAAACAGCCTTCGAGCGTAGACGTCAAGATAGTCACGCCCTCACAATTTTTTCGCGAACTTTCAAATTTTTTTCTCACAAGCTTGTTGCGTTATTCTCAAGAGAAAAAGCGAAGCGTCAGCTTGATTTCTTCGGAGCTATCAAAATAAAGTTCGCAAAATTTTTATTGGTAGCAATTCACTTAAATGATTTTATAACCATGTAGATCACGTTACAACTAGTGATTATTCCATAAGTCAAAAATTAGCAATAATTTTTTCTGCTCCAACTACCGAGCACTTCTCCCCTATTTGCCCGAGTAATTTCCCACACAAATGATGCTTTCTTTTCTCTATCAATGGCTTCCCGATCATGACTCATATTGTCGTGACTCAAATGATTGTTCTAACAATGTCTCGTTAGAGAAAAAAGCAAGCTCGCTGGAACGAAGCCTGCTGTGACCGTCGGGTGCAAAATCCTCATCAAATATGGAGTAGAACCGAGAAGGGGAGAAAAAGAAGCAAAGCTGATGGTACTTCTACTTGCAGACGAGGCAATGCGCTTTGCCTCTGTTTGCGTAAACAAAAGCATTACAGGGGGGGGGGGGGGGGAGGAAGAACAAAAGGCAAAGACGAACAGCTGGAGAAGATTCGGGGAAGAAGCAGAAAACTGTGGACAGATAAATACGTACTCATTCAGTTCATCAAATTTTTTGCTAAGAGTTTGTGAACAGTCAAAAATTTTAAGAATCAAACAGTTCTAAAATATATTTTTACCACTCACTTAACACGCTAACGGCATGGAAGTGGTGTCATAAAAGATTCAGCGCTAAAATACATTCTGAAAACTTATAAGAGAAATTCAGACCACTTACAAGACGCAGAGAAAAAAATCAACGAAAAAATAAAATTGTGTTCATAGGACTCTCGTAAACTTGCTTGCTACTTGTGCACTTGCGGCATTCACTAATGGGGAAGGGAGTTGTAAAATTCGAAATTTACCTGAGTCAAAATTGTTCAAACGCTTTGCCTTTGAATGCAAGTAATTGTAACAATTTCTGTGTCAAACTTTTGACTTGAAATAAAATACACAAAAATGCAAATCAAATTTTTTCGGGGGTGCGGTCGAGAATATGTTCTAGTCGTGTGTCCATATGGATCACATTTGGAGAATTCAGGAAGTTTCTAGTTTTTTTAGAACTGAAGGGAAAAACTTTGTAAGTATTTGTCAACCTAATAGAATCCAGCTTTTTGCACAATTTTTTGACCGTTTTCACCAGTTTCGACTTTTCCAGAACCACAGCGAGTATCGCAAATTGAATCCGCAAAAAATCAAAGAAATAATAAAAGAACTCGTACCTGCATGGCAGGTGTCCAGTTACGTTCCTCCGATGTGTCGTCCTCGGATACGCCAAACGTTGTCTCTCGAGGTCGTCGGCGTAGAGATGGCGCCGAAGATTCACTGCAAAATGATGAGATGACTCGAGAACACTGCGCATCGACAGATTACTCTCTTGTCTTTGACATATGCAAATTTTTAGAAAGTGCAGAGAAGAATTTTTGGGAAATTCCGGATTTTTTGGGCGGGACTGCCCAAATCATCATCGTGAAGGCATCGTGTTTGTTATGCGCAAATTTCACAAACACTGGTACTTCTCTCAAGGAAGCCAAGTCATGAAAATTTGAGAGACTCTCCAGCTTTCGGGTAAAACTATTGATTAATGCATGACTCTTGCACCAAAATCACTGAAAAAGTGTAATTTTCCCAATTTCAGCTAATTTGCTCGTTCAAAGATTAAAAAAATCTGTTAAATTTCCGGAATCTGCTTTTCTAACCGTTAAGCAAACATTGATTCTGGCAAATCGGAAATGTGAACTGGCAACGAGAAATACCTAAATTGTTTTTCAAAGTTTAATCCCCAAAAATGCTCAGAGCACAAAACCAGATTTAGTTTTCTAGTGTGGTGACTGTCTAAGGAATTGTGCTGACTGGAAGTTCTACGGATAATCATGATTGAATTTTCTTATCCGGTATTTTAATTTGCGACTCAAATCTTTGATTCAGTGAAATACAAGATCTAATACATTCGATTATAACGTTGCGAATTAATAAGGATCATAAAGCGACGATAAAAATGACGATGACGATAAAATTTATAAAGTAGCACGGAAGAAGCAAAAATAAGAATATGACATGAGAGAAGCTCTCAAATATGCAGGCGAGAAGGTTACTGAATGGGGATTGCTTAAAGTGTCCACTCAAAATAATGTCCATGTTGAGTACCAATGATTCTTTCTCCCCCTCCGTTGTTTCCTGATTTTTCCAAGCCTGAGACTTGAGGGTTGATCAATAGTTGATAAGATGGAGCCGTACGAGACATGGTAGAGGTAAACATCACCTGGGTAAACATGGCGGTAACTTATATGTGCGTACCTCAAATGGTCCCGATTCCCCTCATGAAAGGATTATTTTCCACTAAAAATCGAGGGTATGGAGTCCAAACGATACTAGTGCGTAATTCCGGATTGAATGACTTTCGGTTAGGACCGGAATTAGCGCTGAGCTTACACAGAGACCCGGCAAGACAGAGCGGCGTAGACCGGACGGTCAGCCAGAGACCCGGCGAGCACCCCGTCGTGCGCGCCCGGGGGACGAAATGAAATGATGAAAGCAGAATGCTTAAGGGAGGAGACGACACACAAGAACACAACCAGCACCAGCAGCTGCAATTCTGGAAGGTTCTCCACACATTCAAGCACATCGCATACATTCAGAAACAGACCCCGGCGCGAAAAAATCTCGAAAATTGCTGCGGAAAAAGCGAAAATTGCTTGGATATTGGCCGGTTTTTGTACGTATGACATGAATTGGAATTGGGAGATTGCAGCAAAATGGGCATGATTCGGGCAATTTATGAACACAATGAGTGTGGATTCGTCGAGATTACACCAGCGGAAAGAAGTTTATTATTGTTTGGGAGTTAACAAGGGCCACCAGTCGTGTAGAGGGGTTGAATTTTATTGTAATTAGACATGTAAGATATCTTTTAGAGCCTCTTTGGGCCTGTGATCAAACCGAAAAACACTCGAAAACAAATAAAAGCAACTTATAAAATGTAGAGCGATGAAACTCGCACCATTTCATCATTTTCAATTTCGAACTTTTCAAGATTTTTTCGCATCATTAACAAAAAAATACAATTTATACCCGATTTTATTCAAATTTCTTGATATGGATAGTCAAGCGGACTTTCTAGATAGATTCGAGATGACTGTGGAAAATACCGATTTTTCCAACGACTGATGTTAGGATTGGAAACCATAAACGTAGCTTCGCAAAAGTGTTGCGAAAGCCAAATAATTCTACAGCTCTAACACTAAAAAGAAATCTTAAAATTGGAATTTGTCGAAGAAAAAGGAACTTCTGCAAACTGGGCAAGAGAGGGCTGAAAATACCACAAAAAACTCAAACCATAAAAACGAAAATAGGATGGCTCAAAATTCTCTACAATCGCCTCGATCAATTTTGTTGATGTTTTGATAAAGAACGGATAGTATTTGTGCATGATTTTGGTCAAAGCTTTTTGGTAAACACATACAAAGTAAAATGTCAACATTCTCGCGCTTCCCTTGGTTCCAAATAAAAGTGCACTTGGCAATAAAAATAAATAAAAGCCATTACACAAACATGGTCCATTAGTAGACGTGGTTGCTAGGAAATGGTGATTGAACTCGAATGAAGAAGCCATGAAAACTCTAAGCGGTATTGAAAAAGGGAAGCCTTGCAAAGTTTGAGATCTTTACGATCAAAGAAATGAGGTAGTCCAGGCTGTAGTCGATATCAAAAGAAGTTGGGTACGACGACGAGAAGAGCAAACACTGACGACGAACACACCAAACGTATCTCATAGCGGAGCGAAAATAGCTCTTAATGTTGGCTTTGGAGAATTTAGATGAATTTACATTATCTACTCCCTCGCGTTAGGTCAAATAGCTCAAAAATCATGAGAAAGGAAGTGATTTTCGACTCAAATGAAGGGCCCAGTTTTCTTGGGTTTCATCCATTTATTAAACTGCGTTAAGAAGCCAAGAAGATGACGTAGTTCGAGAAATCATAAAAATTACGACCATTGAAATTACGACATCACAATCTCACAAAACGCACTTATTTTATTGAAATCGTAACGAGAATGCCTTTCATGCATACTGATTATGGAAATAATTTGCTACAAGAAACACTTTTCTGAGAAGAAAACGAAAAATCAAAGATAGTTTCTGACAGTTGCCATCCATAAAAAGCAAATAATTCAGGGTAAACCCACAGTTACGAAAGATTAGCATACCAGTTTTGCTAGAGTTTTAAGGTCCTGAAAAGAGAGCAAAGCAGAAAAAAATCGGATGACGAGATTGAGATGGACTTCCAAAACTCGAGATTTCTTTTGAAACAAACAAAGGGGCCTGGATTGCTACGTCATTCACAAAACACAAGTTTGGAAAAAAGCCAAAAAATTGTGAAATCTTTTTGGAGCCAACAAAAACCAATAGTACACGGTATACAATGAAATTTTTTTTTTGAATACCAATTCTGCTAAAAGCTCAAGGTTTTGTAAGAAGAGTAAAAAAAGAAATGGCAAATTTAACATTCCAAAGAATTCAAAGGCTTTGCCGTTGCCCTTAAAACAGGCAGAATGAGCTACAAAGTAGACGAGGGAGGAGGAGGGCGGGGGGAGAGCTTTGTTCCCATTGTTACTTTAAGACTAGTCTCTTACAACCAGCCTATTAGCCGCTTCTACCGGTTCCTCTTTCTATAGTTTATGGTGTACATAGCTTGGTGACTAACAGCATAATAAATGGTGAAAAGAAAGAGGAAACAAGACTGCCAAATAAGATCACACAAAAAGGGACATATGGGGAATTTTTGGACAAAACCTAGGAAAAGAGGCCGCAACGCAAAGGAAACGAACAAAAGAACATCTTTCTTGACCGAAAAACGGTTAGAGAAGGCCGAACCCAGACGGGTAGATGGCAATCACATCATCGCCGAATCTTGCGCAGCCTTTATGCTCCGAAATGGAAAACGACAACGTAAATGCTGGGGAGGGAGGGGTCCACCCTCGGCGCCGTCGTCGAACCCGGTTTTGCCCCCCGCAATTACGGGCGTTTTGCTTTGGTTGGGCAGATTACTATAGTTTGGAATTGTAATTGCTTTATGACGAGCAGAATTCCTGCCCAAAGATGACGTCGTTTGGGCACTGTTTTTTGGGGCGGAATTTGTTCTTCTTTGGAATGCCGGAAGAAGTAATTTGCTTGTGGGTTTGTCTGCTGAAAACTAGTTCCGAAATTGGCTTAATGCTAAGCCTGATGTCATTTGGGTATTGTTCCAATGACCAGTGATGAATAAGGAACACAAAAAAAGTAACTTAGGCTAATTTTACGAAAAACTAGTGACATACGAACGGCAAAGACTAGCAATTTTTAGTTTACACATTCTTCATTTTTCTTCCAGTCATTATTCTCATCTTCACAAACACGACCTACAGTGAGCATAAAATAGTTCTATAATTGACTTCCACATTTAATTTTTTTCTAAATCCTCCGTTCTCTTTTTTTCCTCTTTTTAGATTTTCAACGATATCTGAGTGCAAATTCGGCGCTAGTTTGAATGATAAAGCTTTTCGATACTAAGAAATTGTCAAGAAGTGGCTTGGAAAAAAGCTTGAAAAATCTAAAGAAAAGGTGACAAATTATATCAAAAACCTACAACTCATCCTTTAATGAGATGGTAGAAAATTTTCTGAAAGACTGAAGATTTTACTTCAAGTGTAACAAATCTTACGTTTCGACCATGCAAGCAAAAATATTGCCCATTTGAGTTTCATTTCTCAGTTGGGAAGTAAATTTATTTTTCATAAAATTAGTACTCAAAATTGAAAGCTCCTGGCTTATCAGGGCTATTTTTGCAACTAACGAAATAACGAATAAATTGTTGTGACTTCACTTTTTCTTGAAATGAGAGAACAGACAGTGATTGAGAGGAAACAAGAAGTGGAACAAAGGGGGAGAGAACTTTTAATAAGAGAGGAAAAGTTTTTGAACACCCCGTTTCGTTCCATCCCTTAGATGGAGTAAAGGAGCACAGAATTCCCCCCGGAACTTCTCAGTAAGGATAGAGAGTCCTGTGTGTATTTCAAAATAGTTTTGAGATGGAATTTTTTAAAAGTTGTCAAAATAGTTAAAGTTTAACAACTTACAGTTTCTATGCTCTGTATAAGTACTGTACAAGTACTATATAAGTATAAGTGAAAGGGGTGGGTTATGAGTCAGAAGTTATCTCTTGAAACTTCAAAATCAAGATTCAGAGATGATCAAATGATAAGCTTAGATGATGAAATGCCCTAGAAAACCAAGAATAATCTTGACTCCGTGTCGTGCGCTTATAATTTGAAGAAAAAAAGGCTTCAC